TGGATCCGAACCGGTTTGGATACCGTTTGCCGTCTTTGCCGATTTGGAGCAATATGAAACCGACTGCTACCGATGATGTATCCACTGCAAGGATGACTTCTCGCCCGCATTCGTAATCGATCTGTCGCAATGCGGGGGACTCTAATACCAAGTCCTTCAGGGTCTGCATAGCTGTTTGTTGATCCGGTCCGAATTCGAATGGCGCGTCTTTCTTGGTCAGATTGATGAGTGGCCGTGCGATCTTGGAGAAATTCCGGATAAAGATGCGTAGTACACCGCATGTACCCAGAAATCCTCTGACTTGCGAAACGTTACGTGGTTCCGGCCAATCACGGATTTTCTGGATCTTGGAATCTTCCGGAACGCGACCTTCGAAGGTGCATTTGTGTCCGACGATGATTGCGGTTGGGGCAGCTAAAACGAATTTAGTAGCGGATACGGTCGCTCCAACATTCTCTAATCGTTGCAGAATCCGATTGAGAACTATGCAGTGTTCCCAAATGAAGCGGCGAATGCCGGGGTTGTCCGGGATGGTTTCATACGTGCCGTCAGCACTTTGATACCTTGTCCGAACGGACTTGACGGGTACATCGTCGATGAATGGGGAAGTGAATTCAGGAATCTCGTGCTGCAAAATAAACGCCGTATCTCCTTGGTATACCTGAACCGCATTTGCATGTCCTTGTGGAAGCGTGGTAAGCCGGTGAGGTCCGAGTGGTGTACCGAAGGTAGTAAGATCACGGGATTCTTCGTGGAGTGCGCGCTGATCATATCCTGAATATAAATCCATCATCCCGTAGACAGCATAACCGGCGAAGGATTCTGCTAGATGCTCCACGAATGGCGGAAGCGATGCATCGCGGATGGTTACCGCGTTGAGCGGCTGCAAGTCGTGCACTAGACGTAGCGGCTTCCCGTCTTTCTTGACGACGCAGAACCACCGGGAACGGTAGGCTGCGGTAGACGGTTCATATACTCCGGAATCGATCTTTTCCTTGATAATCCTTATGACTTCATTGACAGTTGCCGGCGGAATCGGGATGTTGCGTTGTGACCACGGGACATGCGGAATGGTTGGGATTTTGTAAGGCGGGAAGCACGTTTCATTGAGCCGGCCTCTTTCTGACGCATCCCAAGCAAATGCAAGTTCATGGGTTCGTACGAGCCAACGTATGAGTTTCAATTCCTCCGGCCACAGCCAATTTGCTGGATCGAGGTCGAGCTTGTGAGCGCGTTCTTGGGTGAAGCGGATACCTGGGACGAGTTCGGGAGGGTGAGTAGGTAGTTCTGGCAGCCCGGCCAACGGATCATCTGGTAGGTGGCGGACAACGCGATATCCTGCCGGCATGGAAGTTTGAATGGTCCGTACTTTCTTCGCAACCGGCTTGTAGGTCAACATGTGCCGAGATGGATCATAGCTGTAAACTGAATTGAACGCGTTAGTATTGTCTGGGTTATTAGGGGAGCGGGTAGAGACTAGGTAGGTATACTGCGCCGAGAATAGCGCTTCAGAATAGGGTAAAGAGTGACTGTTGCTCCGTGAGAGCGGGTTGTGCGCGGATAGCGCGAGACGGGTTGTCTGAGGATGTAGGTACATTGGAGACTGAGTGAGAGAAATTGTTTGTTGTCCGTCGTATGGTATCCGAATTTCCTTGCCGGAGTTGGGGTCCGTCAGCGTGATGTCCTGGTCTCCGTTAGGAAGGTCTTCCGTGCGGCAACTAGTTAGCGTGAAGAATGGGCGTCCGAGTAACAGTTCGAAACTAGCCGCTTGCGCGACCTGGATCTGGAACCACATTTGTCCGATGCCGAAGTCTAATGACAGGTTCTCTATGACTCCGAGTGTCGAGTCCCTAGAGGTGTTAACGGATTCCATTGTTAGCTTGTGGTCCGAGCGTAACGGAACCCCCAATCCTTTCCATACTTCCCTGGGCATGACAATGCATTCTGCTCCTTGGTCGAGGACGCAAGTGATTACCTTGCCGCTTGCCAGGGTAGCTTTGATACATCGTAAGCTTTCGAAATGGTCCGCTACTATTCGTCCATCATCCGCTCGTGTCAGGCAATCATCATACTTCTGAAGCCAATGTCCTATATCCGGAGCTGCGGACAACTCGTTGACGGATGCGAGTGCATCTGTGACCCGTTTGGTGGTGGTCATTTCGCGAAATACTTTCCGTACGTCCGGTGATACCGCAATGAGTTCCCGAACTGGTAGGCTGATACTAGCATCCAACATTCGATTTACGACACGTTTGTCCGCATCTTTGTCTTCAAGCGGAAAGGCGAATCTAGAGGGTTTAGTAGGAGGGATGGCATTAATGGCTGGTTTCGCGGATGATGATGTGGCAGGGCTCGCTACTGTGGCAGCGGGTTTGATGATAGCGCCCGGATTAGGTCCCGTGCTTGCAACGGCCTCTTTTACCTGTGGAGAACGGATTTCCTCTACTGGTACCGCCTTGGATGATGATCCCGGTGCGGTCCGCGATGGGGCGGGGGCTTGTGTACCGTCAAAACGAACATTCTTACCCTTGGACTTAGTCCGTTCGGCGCGGGTGTTAGCGAACGCTTGGCATGCTTCGTACGCTGCTTGCTGCAATCTCTGGAGTTCTTCATCATCCTCCTCTTCTTCCTCCGGCATCCGTGTGTGAAGGTAGGCGGATGCGTCGATGTCTTCCTCGATCTCGATTTGTGGTTGTGTGTGACAGTACAAACCTGCAATCACCGTGGCATTTGCGCCCGTTGCCGGACTCGATTGTATGGCTTGATCGATTCTTTCTTTGAAGGTGCCGTGCTCCCTATATCCTGGAATACCGGATCCGTCAGGCATGTATATCCGCCCTTGGTCTTCTACGATCTTTCCGTCACGGATATATTCCGCCTTTGTCCTACAGAAGCGGAAGAAATGGGTTGTTGCCCCACAGAAGTGGCATGGTAGTGGCGGCTGACTGGCTATGAACTCCTTCTTGACGACTATACCTGGGGCCATTTGCGAACTTGGGGCGGCTTGTGTCCTGGGCGGATAGTTATTCCGTGGCACGGGGTATGCTACTGCTGGGGTGGCGGCTGATGCGGTGCCTGGCAATAGGAAGATGGCGGCCTTGTAGACGTGTTCAAATTCGTATGGTTCGTCGGGATGGTTGTCAACCAACAGAATGCTCAACCGATGGCAGATTTTTACATTGATGTCCGCCGGGAATCCGTCCAGGAACATGCGGTTGCGTTCTTGTTCCGCAAGTTTCTTCTTGCTGATGAGAAATTTGGATACCTTGAAGAAGCTCCGGTAGTACGTGCCAAGCTCGACTTGAGAGCTCATGGGGCTGCGTGCCTGCTCATCGGAAATCTTCTGTAAGTCAGCTCGAGTGAATCGTCTGTCACCTTCACATCCGGGGTACAGCACTTTGAGTGCCGTGACAAATTTGTCCCAGTCCGTCTGTCCTGCCTCGGCTTCATCTAATATCTCCCATGTTTCCGCTTCATCTGCAGGTGCATACCGGATTGCCGCCTTGATGTGGGCTTCACCGGTTACTTGGCCGTGATCACATATCAGGTTGACGTCCTCGATGAATGCAAGGAGCTTTCCGGGGGTGCCGTCGAATTTGGGTGCGGCGTCGGTTCCCCTCAACGGCATTCTGAAGACGTTAGTTGACATCTTTGCGAGCGGAATGATAGGAGGTATAATCGGAGCGGGTGGTTGGAATGGTGTAACTGGTAAGGGTATAGGAGGCGGAAGAAACTGGTAAGGCGCGGATACCCTTTTTGGGGACGGTGCGGAAGATGGGAGTGCTTCTAAGCGGGTGCGAGGGGACGGAAGTAGTAAGGTGTTCGAAGGTATATCGGGGACGGGGAGCGTGGGAGTGTGAATACGGGTAGGGTTAGAACTAAGGGATGACTCGGTAGAGGGAGTGTCTATAGAAATGAGCGGGCGGTTAGGGAAACTAAATGATCCGGGAAGTCTCGGGTATTCAACAGTGTCTCTTTCTTCTTCTTCCGGTGCGGATAACGAGTCCGGGGTCAGGTGTAATGGTTCTTCGTCGGTATCTTCTTCTACGTATGAGTCAGCCGGAACGAAGAAATCTTCTTGAGATAGCTGGATGGATTGAAGATCTTGTTTTGCGCGACGCGCGGTAGTGAGCCTAAGCGATCTGCCGGCGGTGTCAGATGATCCCCTCGCGGTGGGCTCCAGTTGAGCGAAAGAAATTCCGTGTAGCCTGTTAGTGTAGACTACCGATCCGTTTTGAGTGCGAGTATTATAGCTCGTCCCAAGGGGATTGCTACTGAGGGATGTCTTCGCAATAAATGCAAAGGAATCAATCCGACGGGCTTAAGATCTGAGCGGCCGGTGAGCGGTGGGAAATCCGATGTGAGAGGAAGATGTCCGGACGGGAACGATTCTGGCGGGACGGGTGTCTAGCGGTGCAGATTTGGTCAAGGTGTCGAGGTAGCAAGGTATCGAGGTGGCAAGGTGTCTAGGTGTCGAGGTCTCGATGTAACGAGCTACCGGAAGTGATCCGAGGAACGGGAAGAGGTCCGTTGCGGTACGGAAGACTAAGGGGACTTGTTGATCACACCAACTTAGACAGTAAATCCAAGGGAGTAAAAGGAAGTGATATTGGTAGAGTACGATGCAACTATTTATCTTAACCCGTGAAAACTCGGGACCCACTTAAGCGACGGTAGTATAGGCGAGGCCGTAGCGCGATAATATGTAAGGGACGGCAAGCGGCCTCATGTATGGGAATGTACATGTAAACAGTCTGCTGTTTGATCAGAGTGATGAAAGGAGAGAAATAACGCACCAATGGGGATGGATGGACATGGATGGGCAGGAACGAGGGGCAATTGAGGGAATCCGTCGCGGGTTGCGTACCCGTTAGGTGTCCGGGAGGGCGGGAGTCGACGGAATAGGCCGGATGAACATGGACATGAATACCTGACCAGGTGAGCTCCGGATCGTGCATAACTGGTGATTGTGAGGCTGGCGCCAGAATGTTTGGTACACCGGCTTTCTGGGCTGTTCTCCTTTACAACCTACCACCACTATCTCTCTGGAATGTCTAGAGCTCTACCATCAAATCTGCCGCCGCAAATCTTCATTTAGCGTGCAAGCCATGGTAAAAGTTCTTTGCGCTCTTCTCAATGTGCGTTGATTCATATCCCCACGTCCTATGCTACTAATATTCAGCAGCGTACTTACTTTCAATCGTTTCGAGATCAATTTGCCATTGCATTTGATGCTTATCTGTGTATATTGTGTCATGTCCAGAGTCTCGTCGATCAGGCGCTCGGACGTGATAGACCCAACTGGAGGATGATCAATGCTTGTCCGCCCTGCAATTATAGGGTAATCATTATGACATGTACTTCTAGTTCACAGTCTAATTTTCATTTAGCAAGCTAATGAAGAACCGCTCGACCCGGCTCGACTCGACAGCATGGATGGCAATACTTCGCTGAAGCGTGTTGATGGATCTGGCCACGCAGATGAACGAGTTTTTCCATCAACTTACTTGATCCCTCCTTCGGAAGTTGAGTTGTTTAAGGACGATGTTCGGCTGCGCCCAGGCACTCGCATCGCCACTGATGGGTCTCCCACTGCTGCTAGTGACGACTCTGCATGCACGGAGAATTGGAAGACGGCCAATACCGTAACTGAGAACACCATCACTGTCTTCGATCAGACAGGAATTTTCGTCAGCGCCTGTCGTCATGGCATTGTACAGACATTGGTGGAGATGCGTAAGAGCGGCGAACTGTATGCCATAAGTATCTGTCACTCTTGTGCATGTTGTATTAATTTTTTTTAAGTGCAAAATATGCGCTAGCCACCACAAACAAGGTTATTGATGTCTATGGTCCAAATGGTGCCACGGGCTATGATATTGGGTGTTCATACGGCAAAACTGTTGCCGCCAGTTCGATCTCATTGAAGGCCAGTACTAATCACCATCGCTTCTTAGTCAATTCATTCCATGGTCACGCTCACAATCGACAATGTCAACTACAATTTCATCCGCTCTATCAGAATGGTCTCGGCATCGAAGACTTGGAAACTTGCGAACGAGTCTTCTCCGCTTCTAACGCCGTAGCGCCCGTCATACGTCACGCATCATACTTTCATTGGTTACAGTTCATCGAGCTTCATTTTGACCAATGGGACTCGGATAAGTACTTGGAACTTAGTAGGTTTTTGCTTGAGTCAAGATTTGTTGCGCCAATAACTTTTTTATAGGTAAATTCATCTACAACAACTACAAGCAGGCACTCCATATTATCAACGAGCTAACACCCGCAGTGCAAGAGCTCAAGGTGCAACTGGGGTTGAGTGACGCAGATTTCGTAAAGTGGAATGCCGAGGAATTGGAGTACTTGCGGAGTCTCACAGTCGAGACCGAAGACAATGTCGAGAAAATGATATATGTTGAAGCCCTTGAGACATTGGCACGCTCGGAGCAAGTTTTTTATTTATTTTAATTTATGCACACGAAACTAAGTTTAATCAATGATATCTACAGGGCAGCATACGGGCGAGCAACGTCTGTTCAGTTCCTGACGTATACTCCCACCGATTTCACACCAACTCAGGGCCTTCGAAAGAGTGCGCAAACTGTTGCACGAGCTCAAGAGGCAGAGCGCAGTGCAACATACCGCAGGTTGGTGCTCGACATGAATGCGGTCGATGACCTTGAACGACGGATGGGTATTACCGAGCATTGGACCCCAGAACAAGAGGAATATAAGCGTGCACTTGATCTTTTAACGAATCACCGTTTCATTCGCATCGTTGAGCAGCTCGAGGGATTGGTGGTAAAGAGGTTATTCGAGTTAGCAAAAGCAAATCTTGCGGGGACTGGTACGTTTTTTCAGCATGCTGAACAAGTACTGATTCAGGTGTCGACTACAGGGTACAAATTACGTCAACACATCTCCAACGCTATTGCTCGATGTTCTGCTGCCATACGTGCGGCACTGGACAAATACAACAATCTCGCACCTCTGCAAAACCCGCCACGACCTACTCTAGAGTACCATGAAGTTGCATCCTACGCATGGTTGGGGGAATTCGACTTATTGAAGCATTCTCGGTGAGATCTACTCTCCAAGCCTTGGGCTTCAAAAACTAATTGTGAAGTCGCCGCAAAGTATTTTAAAGTCTTACGTGCGCATGAGGAGATCACTCGGTTAATGTCGAAGTAGCTCGGCTTCACAGATGGGTAGACGACGAAGATGCACATCTCTCGTCAGTTGCACGCTCACTCTCGGAATCAAATCCTGCACTTGCATATGAAATTCAGCATCAATTCGAGGATCGTCGTCGGGTGAATCGTATTCACCGCACTAGACTCGAAGCGGTTTACAATCTACCAGGTTACAGCGGTCTAATTCAGGTGGTTGAGGAAAGGAGGGACGGAGATGATGGCGTTGAATCGGTGTTATCTGACTTGGGTGGTTCCTCTACAATTCTTGTGGATGAGGATGACGCTCTCTGTGATGAAGCTAGTCGTCTTGATGCTTGTATGTCTGAGTAGATGTAGAAATGATATTTGTATTGATGTCAGTACGTCTTAACGGCTTGCATTCTTAACGGCTTGCATATATACACAGGCCACACACATCCATTTGTAACGCATCATAACACGTCCATTCGTAACACATCATAATGATCTGGATCTGAACTTGTACCTCCATGTTGCACCTGAGCTGTACCTGAAGCGAGGTTGGTTGCAGGTGATGCCACCGCAAGTCCATTTGTAACGCATCATGATAATGATATGGATTTACACAATTTGCTAAGCGAGCTTCACTGGCGCCTCACAGCTTACTTTCTATCACCTCTCTCGATGTTACCCGCTGCCTGAACCTCACACTCCAAATTGTACATTCACAATGCCTGCAGGACATCTTGCAACAATGTCATGGCTTAATCTTGCTGTAGGCCCTAACACAACGGTATGAACATTCCCTTTGGCTTCATCATGATAGTCTCAATCCATTCCTCTGCGGTTGTAGAATTCGATCTTTGTTGGATTCGAAGCTCAGTACTTATTTGCCAATCAGTCTCATGTCAACCAAAACCAGCCAACGATACTCGTAAACGTTCAAAGGTCCCCATACTTGAACATCATGGACAAGCGAAAACTCGTTGACTCGGATGCACTGGTATCTCAAGGAATCTTGTTAATGCAAGATATATTCACTTCGGCAGTAGCACAAGAAATGTCGAAGAAGATTTTTAAGAAGTGGAATACAACAGGGCGCATAAGTACAAAATCTTGCAGTAAGTTGCCTTGGTTCATTCGGATTGCCTTACATTGTTCCATGTTGACTGTCCTTACACAGCCGGTAACATCTTTCAACAAGGAAGCCATGTCTCGCTGGAATTTCCCCCCTTGCCATCACATATTCAGCCTCCACCACCTCGGGACTTCATTCTTGCACCTTCAAGTAGAATACCTAAGGCAACCCTGCAGGCGTGTACATACTCGTAATCAAACTCAACCCCGAGAACAGACTGCCCCAGAAACAACCAATATTAGACCTTTGCGTCCTCCCCCACGTACTCGCCATCGAACTGAACCACTAGCGCAAGCCAGTCCAACCAACAACCAACCTTCGTCCTTTGGGTCCTCCCCCAGCCCGGGAGTTCATCCTCGCACCACAGGCCGTCCAACCAACAACCAACCTTCGTCCTTTGGGTCCTCCCCCAGCCCGGGAGTTCATCCTCGCACCACAGGCCGTCCAACAAACAACTAACCTTCGTCCTTTGGGTCCTCCCCCAGCCCGGGAGTTCATCCTCGCACCATCTGCTGTACACCGCAGGACTGCTTGTGGGCCGCATACTCGCGTGACATCACCTCAGCGCTCTGTAGTAGTTCCTGCGCAAGAAACCACTGAACTCACTTCACGTATCGACAATGTGAGTTTCATTATTCCATTCCCATATATTGCTCACCTTTCGTTCACAGCATCTCGTCAATCCACCGAGATTCAGCAGCCCTACCACCACCATACGTGAGTGATTGTGATAATTAACATTCACTCAGCATAATTTTTCATAGGTTCAATTTCAACAGAATCGGATGTGTCCAGTTCCTCAAAGTCACTTTCCGTCGAACTTCCGACACGATCACAAGTCATTTCTACTTGTTTCAGTGACACTGAGCCGAGTAGCGGACTCGGACTTAGAGTGACAGGCGTTGATGGTAGTACCACAGCGGTATTTATTTTTTGATCCGTCACTCTGTACGTCACTGATGAATTTTTTGAAGCAGGACTCTGCTATTGGCTCCGTCTCAGAGGGTTCAGATGCTGTGCGCCATGTGATGCCTAACACTAGTACCAATGCCTCCGATTTTACGACAAGTGTGGTTCGTGTAATTCCCATCACACGGTCGCATGATTACCCACAGTTTGGGCTTGGGGCCCTTCATCCACTTCTTCGTGGTGGGAGACCTCAAATGTCGGGTGCCAGTGATACTGCCCCTCCATCTTACTCTGACTCAGTTGCTGCAGGACAAGAATCTGTCTTTGTGGTGACGAGGTCAAATATCCAGTGACTCAGCTTAGGCTAGGCTAGGAACAGTATGATACTGAAGTTTAAAATATTGATTCCGAATCACCTTTATAATATATATTTTATGAACCGAAAATCTTTTTAAAAAAAAGTGCACTGATCCATACTACGTCTTGTCCTACCTCTCGTCCATTCATCATAGTGGCTAATGGTTGTCGGCATCACTCCCAAAGTCAAGCGCATTAGGCCGAAGCTTACGTCGGCCCAAAAGGCTTCGCGTCATGACAAGGCCGTTGACCTTTCCAATGCTATCAACGATGCACGCGAAGCATATCGAGAGGAAGCAGCCACTATTTCGGAAAAATACAAACGGTTAGGGCACAAATCTGCATAACACCCTCAACACTTACCTGGCCACAAAACAGGAGCATTAAATGGACTCGGCTTCAATTATACAATAACCGAGGGCTGCACAAGCGCAGGAGCCCAAACGCATGGAACGCGTTCACAAGTCAAAAGCTAAATGAAGCGAATGAAGGTATTAGCGTGTTCCTTTGTTGGTTTCTGAAAACCAATACCTCACAGATCTTCCTGCCAGACGACGCTGGAAACTCACAGCATTCATCGCGGAACATCAGCAAGATCTCACCGCTGAATATGTACGCCTCTCTGCATCTCAAAAGGAAAAACTCAGGCACCATGTCCTCAATTTACACGAGAACCGCATCAAAATTGTGCGTTCAAATCCAAAGGCATTACAAAAACAAGTCAATGCGATGTTTGAGAGCATGGAACAAGAAGTACGTACCTCGAAAATGTCTCTGCCCTTCATTAATTGAGGGACGAACAGTGGCAAAATATCACGGCTAGAACGGGAGTCGAGGGCTTCTATGTTGCCGTTCGTGGGGACGTTGAGCACTTTCACGAGTCGAAGATTTTTTACACACCTAAGGCGAAGTCTTTCATCAAAGAAATCACCCATCTAGACCCAAAGCGCTTTGCACTGAAGTTTGAATCATGGGTGACGGGGAACTTTGGTAAGCGTGTGAGCCCATTCCATAGCCAACAAAATACTCACCCTTCACTAGATAACCATGCTGATGCAACACAACGCCTGTCTCCTTCGAAGCTTATTAGTCTGTGTCGAACTAATATTCAAGAGGGTCTCAGTAAGTACTGTTGGTTGCTGTTCGAACTTTGCTGATAGATGCCAAGATGCGATCAATACAAAAAACAAACTGTCGAAGAAGAAGATCAATATGAACTATGATAACTACGAGAGCAAAATTGTCGAGAAGCACGGGATCATTCTTGAAGGGTGGATGTACGGACAAGTTCAAAATCCCGGAAAGATTGGGCGCCGTGAAGATCTAGTGACTCTCCTTAACACGTTGGTGAATGGCCGCTGTGTGTGGGTTAAACTGAGTGAACAAGATTTGGAGCAGCGCATGGAAAGCAACCGTGAGCGTGCCAAGAATGGCGAGTCCATCTACAAGCCTCGCAAGACCATGAAAAAGAATCCAGCTGGCGCTGCTAAAAGTGCAGCAGTGATCGAGGATAGCGATGTGTCCCACGACGAGAGTGAGGAGGAAGACGAGCGTGAGATGCAGTTGGTGCAGGACCATGGTGCAGCGGTCGAGGAGTAGTCACTATCCCAGTCACGGTACAGCGTCATCTATGTCAGAACACTGGAACACTAGAATACTGAATACATGATAAGTGAAGGCCTGAAATACAACGAGTTCAATGCAAAAACACTAGCACCCACTATTATAAACACCTCCAGACATAATCCACCAAGAAACGGGCAGGAACGAGCCGTAGGTTGAGCTGGTCGTCGGAGACAATGAGCGCAGTGCTACAGGTGATATCATTAGTAAGCGAAAGCAGTGAGATTTCATGATAGACGCTGTATATCATACATTACCGCTGGTTTGAGGGCGTGACGAGGAGGAGGAGATGAGACGGGACCATTAGCAAGGAGGCCTGAAAAAACCGCTGAGAAACAGGCGCAGATAAGCCATATGTTGAGCTCGTCGTTGGGGACGATGGGCAGCTAAGCGGGTGATAAGCGGACACAGTGACAACGGTGAGAAAACGGTCGATGACGCTATTCGGGATTACGCGGGGGTGACTCATTGCCACCGAGAACAGCCGTGGTCATATTAAGTAAGACGAGCACACTGAATAGCCCAAGGTAATGCTGGTTTACTGGTTTTATTGCTGGTATAGTAGAATGTAGCTACGCAGTACTAGTTAGTAAAGGGTTCAGGTACCTGACATAATTACTTATTAGTAATTTAGATGGTGCCACTCAGGTGCCTTTAAACTCACGATTCCCCCAGATGCGACATTTTCAACGAAAACTAATCAGTGCCCACTCACCCCACCACAACGAGAGTACATATATGCAAGACTTAATGAGATGGAAGCGGCAGGAATCATCCGCAAGATCCCCCCGGAAGAAGTGAAGGCATCAGCACCCACGGTCCTCGCACAGAAAGCGCACAGCGCAGCCAGCATCCCGATAGAAGAATTGTGGCATAGAGTCAACGATCAATGCACACAGTACGGATTCCCTGCCCACGACGATCTACCACCTCGTCCCCCAGCAACAACGAACCATACATCGTCCCCAACAGGCCCTAAATGGCGCATATGTCAGAACTTCGCAGAAATCGACAAAGCAAGCCAAATCCCACCAGTACCCCAGGGTGATATCCAGACCAAACAGCAGCGTCTCTCAGGGCACAGGTGGATAAGTGTTATTGACTTTGCAGCCGGGTTCTATGCAATTCCAGTCGATGAGGAGACACAGCCTTACCTCGCATTCTACACTGAAGGACGCGGATATGACTGCTATTGCAGAATGCCGTTCGGACTTACTGGAGCCCCAACAACATTCAGCGACATGGCAGCAACAGCGCTCAAGGACCAGATCGGATTACTGTACGAGTTGTACGTCGATGATAACGGGATGGTGGGGGATGACTTCGACGAGAAACTGGCACGACTAGGTAAGTTCTTTGCTCGGGTCCGTGAAAAAGGACTCTCGCTCTCCCCACAGAAAACACAACTGTTCATGTCCGAGGTTGTGTTTGCGGGGGCACGAGTAGGTAAGGAAGGGGTAAAACCGGACTTAACGAAACTATCGGCAGTCACGGACTGGACGCCCCCAAGAACGCTGCACAACCTTATGCAGTTCTTGGGTCTCACAGGATACTTCAGACCACTGATTAGGAACTACGCGAAGATAGCTGCCCCACTCACCGACCTAGTAAGGAAGCTGGGAGTCCCACCAGAGGGTCAGCGAGTAGGTAAATGTAAGTATCGAGAACACCTCCGCAAGACACTCTTAGGAACCTACTGGAAGCACGTGCATATGGACACGTTCCTTCAACTCAAGAAGACCCTGCTGTCAGAACCCGTACTACGAGGACCGCGATTTGATGGCACCCCTTTTATAGTGACGACTGACGGCTGCAAGGACGGCTTTGGAGCAGTACTAGCGCAGCGGTTCACGACGACGCTACCATCCGGCAAGACCACTACCACCGCACATCCCATTGCTTACGCCTCGAAGAGAACATCACCATCAGAAGAGAAGTACAAACCCTTTTTGTTAGAATTCGCTGCACTGAAGTTTGGTCTTGACAGGTTCTCAGATGTCATATGGGGGTCGCCAGTAGAAATTGAAACAGATTGCCAGGCCCTCAGAGACGCGCTATTAAGCTCGAAACTCAACGTCGCACACGCCCGCTGGAGAGACGGTATCATTGCACACCATATCACTGACATTCGACACAGAGCAGGAGTAACTAATATGGCAGCTGACGGACTTAGCAGACAGTTCTCTACGACACCCAGAATGGCGGAAGATGGCAGCACTTGGACAGTCAGCGAGGACTGGGAGTCCTCGAGAGGTATCATTCACGACTTATTCAATCTCGACGCTAACGACTCTCACCCTCAGATATCGACCACCGATCAAGTCAATCTACGGACGCGCTTCAAGGATGAACCAATGTTCTCAGAGGTACTGGAAGCGCTCTTCGAATTGGACCAGGACAAACCGGAGAAGGACAAGCGTCGCGCACGACACAACGCTCAATCGTACTACGTCGAAAACGGCAAACTGTGGCATGTCAACAACAAGTCCACAACCTGGGTGCACAGTCAGTTAGAATGTATAACCCAGGCTGAAGCGGTCGAACTGGCCCGAACGGAACACTCTTCCAAGGGATACTGGGGACGCGACCTCATCAAGCTACAACTTATGGACCGTGTCCACAGTCCGCGCCTCAACCGGTCAATCACCACCGCCATATCGGAATGCGCAAAGTGTAAGAACTTTGGGCCAACTCACCTACACGCCCTCCTAGATCCTATCGTACACTGTCACCCTTTTGAGCTCATAGTGGCTGACTACTTGAGTATGCCACTGGGTAAAGGCGGGTTTTCAGAAATAGCCCTGTTCATTGATACCTTCTCCCAGTACGTCTGGGGGTTTAAACTCAAGAAGAAAGGAACAGCTAAGTCTACAATCGATTGTCTCACGAAAATATGTCACGATTTCCGCTCACCAGAATTGTTAATGACCGACGGCGGTGTATTAGGAGGATCTGTCCAGGGGCTCGGCCAGGGGTCTGCCAGCAGTGCCAGGGGTCTTACATGGTCCTCGAGGCCTTAGGTACATATAGTCAGCGCATGTCCAGTAGCTAGTCTTTGCCTATTCCATCAGTCTGCTCCCTCTGTCTGGTCTGAGCCCATCTGCCCCCAGTCAGATGCCCCCATTCCAACTGGTGACTAGAGTTCGATTCTTACTTTTCGTCTCGTCTCGTTCGGCTTCCCACGCTCGTCCTGACCTGGTCGCAACCCCTTGATTTTTTTTAGACTGCTTGCTTGCCGCTGGGGAGCTCTGGAGTCACCTCCCGTGGTGGAGCTCTGACTGCCACCTCCCGTTAGGCTCGTTTTTCGACTCGACCCCCTGCTTCTCATTTTTGCGTCCTTTTCCTCGTACCCGCCGTCTCACGCCAACGATTCGTCACACCCCGCAACGCACATTCAACGAATTCAATTCACTCATACCCTACTCGACGACTACCCACATTCCCAACTCCCTCAGCACCAACACACACGCTACCTCGTCCTGCGCTCGTTCTAGCGCCTGCCACGTCAGCATCGACGAACTCCCCCCCTCCGCGTGTTTTCGTGCGTGCCCTCCACGCTTACCCCACACCTACCCCACGTTTACCCCACGTGCACCAACACGACTCTTCACCCTCGCGTTCAACACGCACTCACATACTGTTTTCCCGCCCTCCCCCCATCGTTTCACGTTCACGCTCCCCCCGACGTTTCGCGTTCACGCTTTCCCCGACGTTTCGCGTTCACGCTCCCCCGACGTTTTCACGTTCACGCTCCCCCCGCCGTTTCACAACCACGCGCACCACGCATCCAAACCAAACTACTAACCCTACCCACCTCAAGCTCCAAACCCAACCACGTTCCAAACCCTACCCAACTCGCGCTCCAAATCCCATCCACCCCACGTTCATCATAACGCGCCCTCGCCATCACCATAGCAACGACACGCTTCAACGCCCAGCGTCCAGCCCAACACGCGCAGACAAGTGCCAGCGCGGCAGCAACTGCTCGCAAGGAGATTGAGGGAGTGGGGGGGAGCAGGATGAAGAGGTCTATGTTTCCTCCGCTACCATCCTCTTCCATCATCCCTTGTTCACACCTTACCTATGTACACTTCTCGCTATCATTTTTCACGCTACGTACTACCCGTCCGTTCCCACCACCCACAGACTCGTCTACTCGTCCCCCCGTCTCACCGGCCGTCTCTGTTGCGACCCGGGAGTGTCGCATTTTAGGGGGGGGTACCTGTATTAGGAGGATCTGTCCAGGGGCTCGGCCAGGGGTCTGCCAGCAGTGCCAGGGGTCTTACATGGTCCTCGAGGCCTTAGGTACATATAGTCAGCGCATGTCCAGTAGCTAGTCTTTGCCTATTCCATCAGTCTGCTCCCTCTGTCTGGTCTGAGCCCATCTGCCCCCAGTCAGATGCCCCCATTCCAGCGGTCGACACTTCGATAACCACGAGGTCGCGGGTTGGTGTGAAGCGCACAACACCCAACACCACATTACGGCTGTGTACGCGCCATGGGTCAATGGCTTGGTGGAAGGAACGAACAGCAAGTTGCTAGGGAGACTGCGCAGAGCATGCGCGCCAGAGCTGGGAGAGGATGAAAGCATAGCAGAAGTGACGAGGGAGGAGATACCGGCCAGCTGGCCTGAATATTTCGAGGAAGCAATACAACATCTCAATGAATGAACGATCCCCACATTCCAGTACTCCCCAAAAGAATTACTTTTGGGACTCGTCATCAACACGCCAACTACCCCGCTAGAAGACACCACATCCGCCCCCACGTCCAACAACACCAACGTACACTCAGCATACGCAGCCCAACAGCGACTAGACGCACAATCACACACCGTAGTACACGCCATCAAACAGAAGCTCAAGTTCGACCGCAAGATTTTATTGTCAAACCCAGGTGAAGTACTTTTCTCGCCAGGCCAACTAGTACAGGTATACGCTAATGAACTCGACAGCACATTTAAATCGTCCCGAAAACTCATCCCGTGATGGTCCGCTGTAGGAGACGATCTGGCTGCAGCCCCGTACAGCACCATTTCCCCTTACTGGACGAAGTCACGCATACCTTCCACAGGCCGTTGCGGACCATCACACGAGATTGCGGAATCCATGCACTCATCGCATCGCATCGCAACGCACTATCCGTCCATGTCCTGTCTGCATCCGTCCGTCCTCACTGGTGCGTTCTCATCCTTAGTTAGTCATTCCTAACCGTTCGCAGGACCAGTTACATATCAGTTCCCATGCACGAGGTCGCATAGTGCTACTTACATATTATCTCCCTCCGACTTCGCGTACATATGCGCCCGCTTATACGGTTCCGGTTTCTTACAGACTCTGTTATATACTACGTCGCAGACTCGTACGGACGGCACTTTCCTACATTCCCTCTCTCTGGTTGTGTGTTGCGGAGCCACTAGCTTAGTCTTACCTTGTCATTCCTTGCTTGAGCAATCACTTGTTTGCCTTCTCATCCCGTGCGAACGCTCGCATCGCCATTGACAGTTGACTATTGCTAGTCCTAGTTGAGTTCCTTTGCAAAGCGGTTTCTGCACGTCTTCGCATATACCTGGTACCTAGTTTGCTCTACCTGATTACCTGTTCTGATACCTGGTACCCTACCCATTTCGCATACCTGGTACCCTACCCGTTCGCATACCTGGTACCCTCTAGACATTCACTTGTTTCTCCGCATCCGCATACCTCGCATCTCCGCATCTGCATACCTTGTATCTCCGCATCTGCATACCTCGCATCTCCGCATCTCCTCACATACATAGCTGTTCTGTCTTCAGCGCATCACTTCCTTCTTCACTGTTCCCCTCGCTCATACTTGAGGAACTGCTCTCAGAGCTATCCCCTTGGGTCGACTACTATTCTCGCACCCAGCAGGATCGGTACGCTATCACTATAGCGGACTTCTATGATTTCTCCCACACTGCGCCACGCAAAGTGTTATCCCAGCGGGGCAATTCGTATGCCCTCTCCACGCTGGAAGGCTTCCCCATGCCTGGATGGTACCATGCGAGACGTTTGCGCAGGTTCATACCGCGTTCGGGAACAGCGTTAGCAGAGTTACAAGGGGAGTTAGAGCAAGCCGAGGACACAGAGCGGATCGAAGGAAGCAGCGAGGGGAACGTGTGGAACGTCGAGGTACAACCAGAGCCTCAAGCCACAGTTCTAGAACCGATCGCTCTCGACACGCCGTTCAGAGACGCGACCCAGGAGTGTCGCATTTGTTGGGGGGGTATATGTGTCGGTAGGGGTTATGCAGAGGCTAGGATAGGGGCTGAAGAGCTTGATGAGTCAGAGGTGTCAGAGGCATTAGAGGTCTCAGAGGTCTCAGCCAGGTCTTAGAGGTAGCGCATGTGACCAGTAGTCCTCACTCCAACCATCAGCAGAGTCTGTGTGTTGCTTGTCACCCGTCTCGTCGTACCGACTCAACGGCATGTCGAGAGCGATCGGTTCTAGAACTGTGGCTTGAGGCTCTGGTTGTACCTCGACGTTCCACACGTTCCCCTCGCTGCTTCCTTCGATCCGCTCTGTGTCCTCGGCTTGCTCTAACTCCCCTTGTAACTCTGCTAACGCTGTGAGGGCATCACCGTCAGTTGACGATACTGGAGACGATACAGCCGATACTTCCTCGGAGTCAATGGGCGTTGAAGTCGTGGGGGACATGTAAGAAGTGAAGCCGGATGAAATGTTGGGGGACGGTATATACTCATACTCTTCTTCGTGGAATGATGTGGGGGCGACAGGAGCTGGCATCAGCAGTTTGATGGTCTCTTCGTCCGGGACTACGGTGTTGCCCTTCACTGCGGTAGTCCCGTCCCATTTCCCAAATAGTCGTATTGTGGCTCTGCGTATGAGATGGTGTACGGCTGGTACGCTCCCATAGGGTCGTAGTAGTTCATGGGTGGCATTGGTGCGGATGAGATGTACTGTACTGCTGTGGATGGTGTTGCTGGCTGGTTCTGCCCCCTGATCGCTCGTCCTACTAGGCCTGATACTATTTCTCTCCACTTCGTTTCCTGCGGTATCGTTGGTGCGTTGGGACAGCTAGCTGCTTGGTGCGATGGCACCGTTATCATCCCGCACGTGAAACACTCCCGCGACCCCAAGGGTGCGGAGCCTGGTTTCAGGTGGTAGGGCCGTCCTGTGTGGGGCATCGTGTCTGCTCCGTGCTTCTCGTGCCACTCCTTTACCTGCTGGGAATACGCTGTTCGTCCTGACTCTGAGTCTGGGAAGTGCTGTAACATTGAGTACTGGGCCACCATGCGGATTCTGTCTACTGCACCCGATCGAGACGGAGTCTGTGGAAACCGCTGGTAACGGTAGAAAAGGTTTGTGCTCGGTACTGCTCCTGTCAGCGCGAATGGGTTTTGCCCAGGTGTCGATGGTTGGGGTTGATACGAAGGTGCTTGGTAGGGCATGGAGGGTGCGAAGTTCGGTTGTCCTTGATTGACTTGCTGGTGTAGGCTCATGGCTGGTGCTGGCGCGGATGGCATGGTTGCTGGGTTGTTAGGTGGGCGGGGATAAGGCCTGTATGCCGGCGGGTTCGAAGGGTAGGAACGTGTTTGCGGTGCCTGCTGCTGGGGTTGCAACCTAGCCTTCAACTGAGCAATGTCTTCTCGCATGGCTTGTTCTTCTGCTGCGCGTGTACGTGCCCTTGCAAGGAGGTTGATCGATACTCCGTTTACTCCTGTGAGGAATGCCGCCCAGTCAGTGTAGGTGTCGGACAGCTGATCGCGAAGTAAGTCTGGAACTCCATTGAGCACCACATCCAAAAACTGGCAAGTGTTATCGCCAAAACTCTGCGCTAGCCTCTGCACCTGCCTCGCCCATCTTACGTGTCCCCACTCTTGGCCTCTCTCGTCGTCTATCATCATTCCTATGTCCGCTTCCTTCAATACTACCGCTTTTAGTCGTTCCTTCTTCTGGGCTGAGGTTAACTGGAGTGGGATTGCTGGTGGCCAGCGTACGAGGAACGCTGTCTCTAGGTCGGACCACGTAGCTGTTTGTGCCGCCGATAATGACATGTACCATGCCTCTGCTAGGCTACCCGGTGCACATTGCCTTTTGAACCACTCGACTTTTTGTGCGTCGTTCCACGTGGATGGTAAGTTGAGATCGAGTTGGCGCATCCACTCGTTAGGCTCTTCTCCGCCGACATAATCTCCCTTAAGGAGCGGTAGTACGGGTACAGTTGTCATGTTTGGCTGGTGAATGTGTTGAGGAGGTGGGGCGGTGTATGCGGTGGGAACTGTTTGTGACTGGGGTTGGCTGCTCGCTGATATCTGGCTGGCTGCGTGCTTGTCGCATACGTGTCTAAGGTTAGGCCTTAGTACTGCTGGTACTACCACTGGCGGTGAGGTGATGTGCACTCTAAGTGCCGAGTCTGAAGCTCGTCTATGGGGAGTTGGTGGAATCGTGGATATCTCTGGAAGTAGACTTTGTAGTCTTGCAACATCGTCTAATGTGAGAGCCGTGATGCTGATTTGACGAGACGTCAGTTGGAACGAGAATGAAAAACTAAGGTTAGAATGGGAAAACGAAAAAAGCAAAAAATGAGAAAACAACGAAACACTGATTCTGTCGACTGCTGGGGCGGTGAGGCACAAGGTGTGCTCGCTCTAGTCACCAGGTGAGTCGGTACGACGAGACGGGTGACAAGCAACACACAGACTCTGCTGATGGTTTGAGTGAGGACTACTGGTCACATGCGCTACCTCTAAGACCTGGCTGAGACCTCTGAGACCTCTAATGCCTCTGACACCTCTGACTCATCAAGCTCTTCAGCCCCTATCCTAGCCTCTGCATAACCCCTACCGACACACCGTTCAGAGACGCGACCCAGGAGTGTCGCATTTGTTGGGGGGGTATATGTGTCGGTAGGGGTTATGCAGAGGCTAGGATAGGGGCTGAAGAGCTTGATGAGTCAGAGGTGTCAGAGGCATTAGAGGTCTCAGAGGTCTCAGCCAGGTCTTAGAGGTAGCGCATGTGACCAGTAGTCCTCACTCAAACCATCAGCAGAGTCTGTGTGTTGCTTGTCACCCGTCTCGTCGTACCGACTCAATGGTACTCACTGAATGTATAGCGCTGGAAGCCAATGACACAGTGAATATTGCCTGAAGGCGAGCGCCGGTGGGTGCAAGGAAAACGGTGAGTCATATGAACCCCCTGTTGGATATGCTGGTTCTGGATCGTATGAGACGCTCCCGTAGGAGGATGGCGCTGCCATGTCGCCACATCCATAGACTGGAACAGATAATTCTGTGACCAATCCAGGCCCTCCAGCGTAAGCAGGTTTTGTGGAGAGGATTGATGCGGGAGCTGTGCCTGGGCGATTGGCTGTGGAAGGTCTTCTGAAGGGCAAGGGAAGTACGTGCTGTGCTGACTGAGGTGGGATGGCAAATCATTGGGATGATGGAGGGGAGATTGTCACGGAGACGACGGCAGCGAGTGGCGGGAGCGTTCTAGCATGTGCGTCGGGACCGCCTGCAGTTGGTGGCCTGCTGCTGCTAGATCTGGGCCGACCATCCCGTGAGAGACCGTCCCTAGAGGGGATACTGAAGTTGAATATGTTGGTGGTGAAGGTCTGAAAGGACTGCGATTGCTGCTGCCAGGAAGTTGAGGATGCGGGGGGGGACACGAAAGGACTGGCTGGAGTCACGAAAGGAATGGGTATTCTAACGAGTGACAGTGATAAACGAATGGGGTATGTGTGCGACAACGGGTATGAGATGCTGCTTGTGAAACGTGAGGCGCATTTATGCAGTGGCGACCTCGAGCTTCACGCCGTTGAGAACGTTCTTAACGACTGGGTTATATTTATGAGGTGTTCAATATTAGCGGCCATGATAGGACTTACCAGCAGCAACGTTAACAGCCAAGTCAGTCTGAGAGCGCGCCACCAATGTAGTATCATTGTCGTTGAGGATGTTCTCAATCTTTGCAATGCGACATCAGAATTAAGATGAAACGAACATTGCTCATTTCGTACTGGCTTCAATCTCAGCAACAGTGTAGGTGTCGGAACGCTTGGATTGCGTCAAGACCTTCACATTAAGGTCCTTGAGGAGCTTTTGCGCGATCGCAGTGACCTTGACAACATCGCAGGTGCTGCTGCTACACTTCGACTGAGACACAACCGAGATTTTCAGGTCGTTCGCGACGTCAGTGACAACTGTAACACAATTACTATCAGAGCGAGGAATCAACAGTGGGCGCAACAATGACATACCTGCTGCGATATCAGCAAGTGAGCAGTACCCCTCACTACGTTTGGACTGGCTGAGAACCTTGATGTTCAGGCCATTCAGTACATTCTTGACCTCTGGGAATGTATTTAATATTTGCATAAATTGATCGCACGAGGATAGTTACCAGCGGTGGCTCCAACAACATCGCAATTGCTATGCTTGGACTGAGACAAGATGCTAATTGTCCCGTTGTTAAGTACATCACTGACAACTGTTTGATTTCGATCAGATTGTGTATCTTGAACTTTAGACAAAAACTTACTGGCAGAGACTTCAGCGACGGAGCAGTCCTCAATGGTTCGTTGCTCGAGGCTGCTACCGCTAATCAATTTGATGACATCCTTGACAGCTAAAATGGTACACGGCTCAACATTGCTGGAAGCTCTAAGAAGATTTCATGCTTACATGCAGGACTGGAGCCAACACCACGCTGAGTCTGAGTCAGTACGTTGGCCTTGAGGTCATTGGCGACATCTTTAACAGCTAAAACAAAAATAAAATGAAAAAGCCAATCACATGGTGTTGCCACCACGATCCAAATCGGAATTCCAACCGTCACCGTAAATCATGTTGTCACCACCCTCGTAACCAGTGCTCGTACCGGGACGCTGGTGCATGGGGTGGAGAGAGGCAGACAAGTCCTCCTCCTTGACTTGATCGAGACCATGCATTGAACTATCTTGAGATCCTGAATGATTGCTTGTGGCGAGTACTGCAGCTGCATTAACGATAGCTTGACCCCTCTTGCCTCTTGGCTGACCGGTTTTATTTGCGGCTGCCATAGAAGCATGAAGAGAGGTAAGTTCACGCATCATGCGCTCATTCTGTTCTTGCTTATCAGCATGAACCGTCTGAGCATGCTGACAGAGATTGTCGAGACGCGAAAATTGCTTGCTGCAGTGGCAAGTAAAAGGGCGATCGCCAGTATGTTTCCTGATCGCATACTGCGCTGCAGGGCCATTAACCATTCTTGAAGTGGAATGAAGAGAACAAAAAGAGAGCAACCAGCGAGTGCTGACATTGACAGTGCGTTCAAGGGGTCAAGGAAGTGAGCGAGCCGCTGATTCAAACGAGAGTAGACATGGTGCGATTAGTCTTCGGTTAAAGGATAGGGGGTTATAGGGCGCAACTTACCATCAAAGTAGGTGGTAGGGTTACGCCCAGCACAGACTTTGTGATATGTCACACAGTCACACTATCCTAAAGGGAACGCCATGACTATCCTCGATCCTCTTCCACTATCTTCAGTATATTGAGCAGTTAGCACTATGGGGCCTCAGGATCCGGTGAGTGACGCAAGTGATCGTTGATCACCCACTCACCATGCGAACAGAGATATAGCCGCCACATTAAGAACCAAACAACCACCGGATCGCAGATTGCTGTGAGATTGATCTCACAGCGTTGGAATCGTAGAGTGCCGTGTAGAATGGAGTATCGAAGGTACATCGCCAACTTACCTACACTAAAATTGATTTCTAACATAAACAGAAATGGTCCTTGCAACGTTTCGAGAATCGTAGACATCTACAAATTTTCAGAGGACGCTTTGGGTGGGGTCGTTGATGCGAGTCGAGATGACAGGTCCGTTGATGGTGAGGTGAGTCGACACGACAGGTCCGTCGATGTTGAGGCGAGTCGACACGATGGGTCCATAGATGTCGAGAAGTGGCAGAAGTCGAAACCGTTTAAGTAGCTCGTCCCCAGAAATCGCCGATTTTATCGCGATTAAGCCTTTTCCCGCGTCCCTGTTTCAAGGTGCCTTCGATATAGATACACTATCAAGTTCCCAGAGCGATCAGTTGTTACGAGTCTCCTAGATGAAGTGTGTCAATTTGTTGATGTACCACAATATCAAAAGCACTGACGCCACCAAATGCCCAAGAGGCAACTTGAACGAGTACGCCTGCAGCAGCTCTTCGTCGTTGATATGCTCCCAGTTAAGCAAGCTCACGAGGACATGGTTCAGCGTATACATCGTGGAACAGAGCGATGACCGGATGATGACGGTGTCCCTCATCGGCAAAGCCAACCTCAGCAGGTCTGGTGATACCGAAACTTGCTCAGGGCGCCATCCGGGGAGTACCCACGGTGACGATGCCAGGTACATGCCTGGCGTCACTTGTGGCAGCTTATCTGTGTACCATACTAAAGTATGGCTCCCATCCTCCAAAATGCGCCTTGGCCAGGAAAGAGTGGCCGGAACACAAACACGAATGGCTGGTCTGCGTTGAGCCCTCGTCCAGAGCGATTTCGGGATGTAAAGAATAGATGCCAGTTGGGAATAATACCAAGCAGAAGTTGGAGTTTGATGAGCTCGCCGAATGTGGGCTGGTTGTTGCGCATGAAGACCATTGAATGGAACCGGGTCACGCTGGGTTCGCCGCTGCCCAGGGAGATGGCATTCTCGATAGTACGACCTTCTTGATCACGGACTTCGATCGACACTCGAGCACTTTTTGAAACCTGGTCAGGATGCGTGAATTTGACCATGCTGAGTCGGGCGGAGCCACTGTAGGAAGATGGGAAGTCCCCCGTTGATAATTTAATGTAGAGCTCATTGCGCACATCTCCAGGAAACACCGGATGTCTTGCAGAAAATACATGTTCTCCCTGATAATGGTAGCTTAATCGTCATCATCTTCACAGAAACAGCAAGCATCTCAGCCCTGGTCGCAACATCAGGACACGGAACGGGTAATTGATCGTTACGCTCACCTTGGCGACTTCTCAAACTCCTTCACGTTATTTGCGATGATGTCCTGATGTAACATCAACATAAATAAATTTCCTGGTCCCAACATTACACAACTACCATGCGGGGTCTCGACAAGAAAATTTGAATCACCAGGCTAGGTTCTTTTCAGAAACAAACGGTAAAAAACGCGAAAATCTCACCGCCGCTTCAAATAACGGGTGACCGTGGCTGGTAGTCGGGGACGGCCAGCACCTCATCATATATTGAAATCTTGTGGTGTCGTGGCAGAAGATTTGGGAGAAGAATTGAGGAACGTACTAGATTGAGACGAGCTGGGTGCGAGGCGCTCCAGCATTTGGCCTTGCAATCGAGGTGGAAAGTCTTGAGCTATATGACCATGAAATAAAATATAATTACATGTTTATGAGGGCAAATCCGGATCAAGTGGCCTTCGAGAGAAAGCCCGAACAACATAACATTGCCGCATGTGTGAGCCAAGATCGACGAAGACAGTGCTATTTAAGATATCAGTAAACGGAGCCAGAATTTGTGTAACATGTCGCATTGGGCACCCCTTTGAGGAGGGTTTGGTCAGCTTAGTCAGCATCTAGAATCGTGCCACAAACCTATCTCTGTTCATTGGTCAGAGTCCACTGGCATAACAGTAATTGCCACCGAGGTCATCTGCCCCAATCATAGGCCCACCGCCATGCGGTGTCTTTTGGAGTTACTAATGCGCAGTCACTCAGTTTAAATTGGCCTGAGAGAAAGCTTGGAGACACCAAAACTGGTAGTTGTGATATCAGTAAAGCTATCAGGTTGAACATGTATAGGAACATTCACCTGTTGACATAGCCGTACAAATTATATTTATCCCCCTTTAAAGAGAAAACCCTGCCACTCAGATTGAGCTGCCCAGAAGAAAGCTGAAATGATGACATACTCTAGAACAACTTCTGGGTCCACGAAGCCAGGGCTGAATGCATTCGAGTTTGTTAGAGGAAGATAGATAGAGCGGATAAGCCCGCAGTTCAAGAACATCAGAGCCACTATGAAACATTCCAAGGAATGTCCAGGTCACATCGACAGCTGAAGGAGACCATCCCAAGCTTCCAGCGCATCGAAGGTGCAGAGATCGCCAGAAAGTTATCTCAGCACAAGGAATGCTTCCAAGGCAAAATAAATCCTTTGCAAGCTTAGTGGGGTGTGCCCACCATGCTATGTGTCTATAACCAGCCTTGCAAAGAAGTCTATGTGTTCCGCCGAAATTTCATGCAGTCGAAAATGTCAATCAGTATCAGTGAACCATCACGAACTAACAAAAAAAAAGGATGAACTGAAGGCGAAGTTATTAGGCAAATCTGGCACTGGAACATCTTGCAGAACTCTACTTGGAGCACGGTCATAGTCATCAAGTCCATCTCAGAGTGCAATGGAGAACTTACATGCATCCAACCACAGATCAACGGTGAGACAGTCTTCGCATTCCCTGCCAGTTACAGGTTGATAAGACAAACTCGGATACTACAATTGGACTTCCCACACAACCCAATGTTGACTCGAGTCAATACGCACACACAAACACAGGAATTTTCTCATCAATATCGATTAGTCAAAGGTCAAGACTCACTGGCAGTACTCAACTTCAAGTTGTAATTGGTCTCGAGTTTGATTCCGCAGAGATTAGTACTTGCGTCTCCCGAAAATTTTAGTGCGCTCGTGAGGAAACTACGTGTGCCTCCCTGGAAATACAATCGTTGAAACATTCGCCAGGTCGAATTTGAGTCTGGAAAAGGTAGACAGATCCACATACTTCTCTAAGGTTCTCTTCATTCTACTACTATCATATTGCTGGTTCTACGTATTTTGCCGTGAACCACGATGATTGATGTGTCCAGAAAAAAACGTAGCGGGCTCTGCCACGCACGCGGCCTTATGACTCCCACAGACGAATACTAACCATTGGCCTGGGCCAGCAGGTGAGCAGCTGCAGGCTGTACATCTTGCGACGTTGACGCGAAGCAATCTTGCATGCAATTCCAATGTCCGTGTTAGATATGTAAGGTGTAAGTGTAGTATGGATGGGTAGATGTGACAATATGAGTGGTATTTGACAAGGACAGGAACGATAACTCATGAAGAAGAAGGCGGTTCAAAATCGGAAGTAGAACAAACAACATCTGTGAATGACCTACAACAGTAGAAGCCTTTGTTGTTTGGTAAACCACCCCGCCGCGGGACATCATTGGGTTCTGTAATGGCGATACTTTTAACGATATCTTCGATTACTCTTTCCTTCTTGTCCCTCCCGTTTGGTCTAGGACATTTCGTCTTGGGGTTGATATCAAGCACATTTTCATACCTGAATGCAGGTTGTGGTTAGTAGTGTTGAGAAGTATGCAAAGGACTCTGACATTATGAATGGCAGACTCATCACCGTCTCCGTGAACTTGGGATATCTTTCCGGGTTTGCGTACATGATGGCGAGCGCGGCACCAATGATGTCGCACATGACTTTGTGCCTCTTGTACAAATTAATGTTTTGCTTGTTCAGTGCTTCTTTCGTCATCAGGACCATCGTATGGTAAATCTGAGTTTGTGTTAGTACCGCTTGACTCGGACAAACGTCAAAGTGAGAAAATGACTAACTACTGTCACCAAGTTGCCAACGGTATCTTGGGCCACGCATCCAACTGACGTGTAGAGCTCTTCGGGAAATAGATCCGCTATTCTCGCAGAGCGTTTTCCGTCAGGCAACCCGTCGACTTGGATAAAGAGTGCCGCCCATAACACTTCCCTGAAGATTTGATGGGCCACGAGTGTAGAAAGAGCTTCTTGTACCTAAATGACGGAAAGATTTAAGGTAGGGACTTTCAAGCGTCCAATCTGTTACTTACGGCTTGGCTTTGCCCAGAATTCAATACCGAAAGAAATACTTTTATTGTATCAATTATCACGTCCTTCTCACAAAAGCGTGTGATTGGCAACATGGCAGCTTTGGCGACTTTCCTCAATTCAGACCTCGTGTTGTTGAATAGTGAAAGCAGCTGCTCAAATGTGTTAGGAGGGAGCGAAAGTAATGAAGAGATATAGCGTACGTGGGTGCGGATAATTTGCCATCCAACAGAGGTCTGTGTTTTACCGTTCTTCACAATCACTAATTGGATTGTAAGATAATACTGCGAAACATCGACACCATAAGGTACTCACATGGTTGTTCCATTAGATCCACGTACGTCTTCCCGTCGATTCGGAGGGCAGTTAGGAAGCTGGTAGTAATGACCCTCCGCCGATCCATGTCAGAGATTTTAAACGGGTTCCCGTACATGCCGACCCACAGACTACCCGCGATCAGGGCCTTCGTGAGCTTTATGACATGGTACCAGCGGCACAGCTTTTTCTCCAACATACGGAGTATCTTTTTCTTGTCGTCGGGCCCAACCTGACTCCACAGATCTACCGGATCTGTCCATTTCAGGTCCGGATGAAGGGCCAGGTTCGTGTTGATGGGGGCTGGTTCGCCAGCGTTAACCTCAACCGGCTCCTCCGAAGGGTGAGGTTCTCCAAGGTCGCCGATGGAAAGACTGAGAGCCGACCAGTCAATGTTGCCGCCGTCGCCGTCGAGAAGATGCATCATCGTCGTTGATTGAATGGCAAAGGGGGTGTATGGCGCAAGGCCCAGGACGGTATCCAATAGGTGCGTGTCATTTGTGCCAGCCAACGGAGGCGGCTGGTCGGTGATGGTGAGATGAGTGGAATGCCTGGACGTTGAGGCAATAGGCTTGTTGACGGCGCACTGTGATACCCCGTGTATAGAAGGATTGCCTCCTAAGACGGGATTGGCGAGGCGGGGGGATTCCTCCAGAGATATCGGTGGATTGAAGGGGATTGATGCTTCCAAGAGCTGGGAGAGCTGCCGAAGCACAGTATAATCAGGGAAATAATTTAACATAATAGTAAGAGCAACTTGAACACTTACGAACCACATTTGCCCTGGATTCCCCAGAATGTTGGGCCTACTGTATGGGGTCTCGACAAGAAAACTCAAATCACCAGGCTAGGTTCTTTTCAGAAATGGACGGTAAAAAACGCGAAAATCTCACTGTTGTTTCAAATAACAGGTAATCGTGATTGATGTTGAAATTGTCGGGGATGGTCAGTACCCCAACAACGTGAAGTACCTCGAGCCAAGGTCTTTGTTCAGTGACGGATTCATCACACTACAAAACAAAATCATAAGATACGAACAATTGTAAGAAATGTAAGTCTCACATATAGCGCAGATACTCGACCATGCATGGCGATGTATCCAATGGCATTGAACCGACGGTCCTGGAACCCCACAAAGGGGTGCTGAAAGTGCAAGTCAGGCTGAGATGATGTCTAACGGGGGACCGCAAACCTCCTCATGCTAGAAGAAATACATCAGGACCGAACACCGAACACAGCCTACTGAAACTTACATCCAGCTTAATCAAGACGTAGACCTTCTTCGAATAATGGTCATAGAGGTAGGCGTAAACCATTGGCTTGGACTACCTTGCGCTGTCTAAGATTGAAATTAGTGTGCAGTGAAAAAAAAAAGTCGCAGCGACTCAATAAATATCAGCCATCCGCAAGGACCAAGCTGCCGGCTTTAGCGATTGGCGGGGGGCAGCAGTCAGCAATGGCCAGGAATCAATGATTCCAGCGCTAAGCGATGGGTGACGGCCAGGACATAATTTGAGTGACGGCCAGGACCTATTGACCGCCACGGTTAAGGTAGGAAATGACTCTGCGCCCATCCGTGCTGGGGTTGACTGTTGTATGTAATCTAATTGTCATAATCGAAAGTATAGTCAGTGTACATTTCGTCTAGTGCGTCTATGAGCGTCTCTGTGCTTCCATTACGTCCCTGCTCGAAGAGGATTAGTTCTTCGACGCCAACGTGGTCTTCATCCTCTTCATCGACCTTGGGGTTTTCCAGGAGGCTTCGTTCGCTTACCACATGTTCATCTCCGATCTGGATGGCAGGGTGCGCATCGGAGCTAGGGTTTGCTAAGACCTCTACTCTATGAGAATATGTATGCCCCACACCAAGTCCGTAGTGAAATCGCATGAGGGAGTCGCGATCAACAAAACTGGTAAAGTTGTGGTATCAGTAAACATAGCTAAAATGTATAGGATCATTCACCTGTTCACATAGTATTCATGCCAATCATGTTTATCTCCCGCCAGAGGGGAAATTCCGTCGCTCGGAGTGCACTTGCCTCGAGAGAAAGCAGGTATGATGTGACATCCCCGAAGTACAGCTCCGGGGTCCACGAAGCCAAATGCGTCGGGATTCGCTAAGGGTAGGAAACAAACGCGGCCCATAGCATGCGTTTCCCAGTCATGGCGTTGTACGGATTGGTACCACCTAACAAAGAGAAAGTCGATGCGGTGGGATTCATAGACGTTCCCGGCCCGGACAGCATTAACATGGTGAATGCCTAGAACCTTGGCATAACAGTAATTGCCATCGAGGTTATCATCATCAGGATCACGTCGGAGGAGCATGACATTACAATGTGGAGTCTTGGGGTTGATGACATCTTGAGATCTTCGCACATCGTATGATGTAAAGTTGAATTGTGCGAGATTGTGGTGGAAAATTCGATTACGTTTGAATAGAATTGAATTGCAGTCATTATCGGCATGAGTGGGGTTCTCCGCAGACGATCCGGAAGTCCCAGCGTCAAGGCGATCCAGAATATGGGCTTTCAAGCGTGGCAGGAAGTCCTTAGTCGCACCTCAGAATGATGTAAATTGCAAAAACAAAATGAACTACCTTGATAGCAGGGTCTCTCGCATTATTGCGGAGGTAATGACCTAACTCGTCATAATCTTTCTCGCTTTGACCAATATGATGGTGCGTGTGATGATCGCTTGCGGTTTCATTAGACTCTGCATGAGGGGCCCGTTTTTGCTGCCGTTCTTTGATACAGCGTAATCGTGTTTGCCGGTGCTCGATTTGTGTCAGCTGGTGAACGAAGCTCTGTCGGTCAGTTCGACAATATCTGTTTTTCGGTGTATGATGCTCTAACTCCCCCTGATAGTAGTTTAGTCGGAGAGCGGGCGGGCGATAGATTAAGACTTACAGGTTCTGTACTGTATGAATCCGTGGTGCCGAAGCGACGGACAGAGGCCACATAATCGCCTAGAGCGTGAAACTTATAGGTATTCATATTGAATGACCTCTTCTTCCTGGGCTGCCTTGGTAATGGTGCGTCCAGCGGTTGCTCCGGGCTCGCCTTTTGTTTCCCTTTAGCATTGGTCCCTGCCTTATGCTGTTGAGCCGTAGCCCCTTCCTCCTTGCCATTCGTCCCACCTTTCTGCGCCCGTTTGCCTGCCTCCTTTGCCTGCCAACGAGCTCTCGCATCGACTTCCCGATCGAGCTCCTGGGTACTGTATGCACTGCACACCTTCCCCTTAAACTGGCGGAACTGTTCGCCAAGTTTGGTCGTTTGGAGATCGAGGATATCTAAAGTGAGGTCGGAGTGCATCCGCAGCTTGGCAAGTCCGTGCCAGTGCGCCATGGTGAAAAGGAGATCAATTACGATTTTGTTGTGAGGATCGGGGAGAAGGCCTTCGAAGACCGGGATCGAACACTTGTATAAAGTGAGTTCACAGGGCCCCATGATAGTAATGCTAAGGGCATACCTGTAAAATATCCTCAAAGTTGCGCACAGCCATGTTTGACATTTCCGAGGTGTTTGCAGAGAAATGCCTAATAGTTGCAGATCCAAACGGGGGACCTGCCTAAACCTGTCCAAGGTGAGTATAGGTATGTCGGACCATCATCAGATAAGTATTAGGCACCTTTTATCAAGCTCGTGTATCAGGTCCTTATCCAAGGCGAAAAGGATTCTCAGCAAGTGAAGTAAGAGCATGTGCCAAACCCCGAGTTCAAACTCGTGCAAGAGGTCGACGACTAGTGCGGCAAACACGTCGAATCCAAACGCACCAAGGCTGTTGGATAAAACATTCTAATAAAGGGTAAGTCGAGGCAGCGAAGAGGCTCATGGTGATGCTCACCGACGATGGTACCCACGAATCGGGCTTGAGCAGTGACTCAACTCGGGTACTATCTACGCCAAAATTGTTGTTGTAGATGAGGTCGCGTGCATTGGAAACCAGCGGACTCCTCGAGGAATCGGACCGTGCCAACCTTGATCGCTGCTGCCTATCGCTGCTCGTTCCCAGATTGTGAATCTGTGCAGTCGGTATGAGACACCTTGGACAAGGGCATCCTCCCAGCTGCCGAATTGTTGCAACGAGAACCCTGACTTTGGTGAGCCTCGACTTCCTATGAATAATATCTGCGACTTACTTCTCAGGATAGTCCGCAGAGTAGGTGAATACTCGCGGATAAAACCTGCGTTTAATACCATCGCAGCAGAGTAGTACAATCCCGTGCTTGTAAGCCTCCAAAAACTTAGCGTCGATCAAGATCTTCCATTGGGCTTGAAACAATTCGCGCTGGCAATGTGTCGTACAATCACATCCAACCCCCTTGCCATTGGTGTAGGTCCCTGTGAAGTCCTTGAACGAGTCCGGAAGCTGCAAAGGCATTGATGAGCTTAATGAAAATAATTCATGAGGATCACTGTACCTTTTGAAAGTAGGCAACATGGTTACTCAAATTACAGGATGGTTTGCAACGGCGGTATTTCGATTCATTTCCGAAATACATGTACACTGGCCATAGCCTCGTGTTACCAAATGTCGTCAGGTGCGTGGCATCTGACCAAAACATGAGCGCGACAACGACTCGGGGTAAATCGCATCCTGCTTCCCCAGGGGACTCCTGAAGCTCACGGTGCGCGTCCATAAAGGCCGGCAAAGTGTACAATTCACCTTGAATGTTCACTTCGCGGGGAAGATGGGGTGCGCTCCATCGTAATGTATAGGGCTCGTAGTGGAAATATTCATCGTCATGGGCATTCGAGAGCTTTTCTCTAATGATAGAGACAATAGATCTATGATAAAGATCTGCTGCCGGGTAAGGTCGAGCACCCGGCTGGGCTGTGGTTCGAGAAAAGGGCACTTGGATGGTCACTTTCATTTTGAACCAACCCGCATCCTCATCCTCCCATTCGTCGCCCCCCTCGTCCGCGTTGTGAGTACTCGAACCTAATTTCAAGTTAATCCTATCCCATGGTGTACTCCGCACAGTGTCAGGATCGAAATCTGAGCAACCGACAATATCGATCAGCTGTTTAAAGTCCTGATGGGATTTCTGTGCGGTGCCGTTCCAGTACCAGTTACCGAGCTCAAACGAAGATCGGTTGGGGTATGGGTGAAATGCGAGGTCATGGGGTGCAGTGGGTGAGTCTGGCTTTACTGGAGTGACAGAGCTGATATCTTGAAGTGTCACAACTTCTTCTGGGTCGTGAGAAGGGGGGTTGGATGAAAAGAACTGCCGTACTAGTCCGAAGACATTCTTGGCTGTACGGAAAGGAGGGGCTCGAAATGATGTACGAGCACCAATGGACGCGTCAGTGGGAGTTGCTGGTGGGTTGGAATCTGCAGGGTAGCCGGAGGGGACAGTTGGTGGAGGTTGCGGGATCACGTCCTCATGCTGCCTATAGCGTAGCGGCATAGGAACATCGACACGCCGGCTCCTCCGCTGCGCCAATGATAAACCCTGGTCTTCGTCAATCTCCATAGGTGCATCACCAGTATTGGTGTTGGATGCTGTGGCGGGTGCATTTTCTTGCGCCGAAAAACCTGCGCGTGAAAGGGATGTCTCATTCGAAGACACCATACTAGGACGGTCATACAGTCTGCCACTACTGTCCACTCGGGACCGTTTTGCTGTGCCTAAAAGGTCTTTTGCCTTGGATAGGGCAGAAAACAGTCGCTTTTTGCCTTGCGTGCACGAGCGTTGATGCTTGGTATAAGCGCTCTCCTGCGTAAACTGACGTAGACAGGTGCACCTGAAAGGAGTTGAATTCGTCGATGGATCTCTCAGGTTCATGAGGAGTTGAAAAGGACCAGGGTGCGGTTGAGCTCGATAGTGAAAGGTGGGATGCTTGAAAGGAATTGGGATTTCGGCAGCATGTCATAAACAAACTTTGGCACCAGTGATGGCCAACCCGATTACTGAATCGCCATCATAGCCCGAAATTCCCACAGGCCTGGCTCTGGCCGTAGGCTAAAGGTGGGAAGCTGGCGCACTTGATGATGCCAAGAAGGGCTGGGTGGGTCATGGTATGGTTAGTGGCAGCCTGATATTATATGAGCAGAGGAGAAAACACCACATTGCTGTACCGGATTACCCAATGGAACCTCCATCATCTCCCTCCTCTACCATTACCACCCCACCTGACTATCGTGAAACCTCTCGGAGGTTAGGCAAACTGATCGCGGAGGCAATGACCTGCCGTTTCGCCCTCCTGCATTATGACAGTGCCTCAAAGTCCATGATCGAATGGTGTTGGTGAGACTTCAATTCTGTGCAAATTCTAGGCGTAACAAAAACAACGCAGGCCTGTCGATAGCGATGGAAAGAAGATTCCGCCGTCCCGTCTAGAGAAGTACCGCGACGAACACGATTTTAAATACCCGTGCTGTCTATGCGCTGATGGCGGTGGAAGAGGGGCGTACACAGAGGTGGCAGTATACTCTTGGCGGAATGAGATTGCCAAGAAAACTGATTGGACTGCACGATGTGCATCAGATACATGCGGTTACCGAGGTCAGTGTTATCCATGCCCAAGAAGCACCAGACTCACCATCGCACAGTGAAAATCGAGGTGTACTTCCAACGATTGTCTGTAGGCACCTTCCAATACCCGCAAAGAGGTAGGAGCTTGCTTGGTTGCAGCACCACAGCTTCATTGACGGATAACTTGGATGCAGAACAACGAACCCTACCTATTGAACTAGAGTGGAACCACAGAGAGCAGGCAGAGTTGTTGAACAGGCTTGGCTCAGCTGATGGCATTGGGATTCCGGCGAGGGAGTTCCGTGTTCTGTTTAAACGCTGCAAAAAGTGCATGCAAGTCGGAGTAAGGCCGGTGATGAACCGCCATATCTGTTCAGGAGGAGTGCAGAAGGACCCCCGTCATCGTTAGAAATCAGTCAGTGCCATGCCCAAGTGTCGCATTTAATCGTCAATAACATACATATTCACATTATGATTGTCAGCATCAGTACTTAACGTAGTTAGCCAATATAAAAAATTGTTATCGTTTCTTCGACGTGGAAAGTCCCACTGCTGACGTATACGTAGCGGCCTGGGGAATTTCAAGTTATCGTCGTGATGCCGCATCCGTCAGATCATTACGTGGCCAAACTCGCCCTGAAAATTTGTTCAAAGTCAATGTTGAACTTCCAATTTTCTCTCTCAGGCTGTCCGACTTCCATCCCCTACTGCCCCCGATCCCTCGTAGCCTCGGCACCGCGATATCCTCTCCTCCCCACCGTCTAAAAAATCTGTCATATCTTCTCCCGCGACTGTCCATGATCACCGCCTTTCACTGTGCTGAAGCGGGTTTCAGTAACCTCGTTAATATGCCGAAACACCGGGAGATGAAGAAAGGAGCATGAATATGAGAAAAGGGACGCTTGTCGGTACGCATGAGTAACCTTGCGCTCGAAGTGCGGTATTGACCAATCCCTTCATAGTTGGCCACAAGTCGACATTTTGTACTTCAGCTCCCTTTACCATGAAGTTCGGGCCGTCAACACAGGACTGGAAGAATGCTGTCAAATTCATATGACTTTGTGGCCCGTTGTCAAGAAATTTCAATTGGTCTTGCCCAGCTCGACAGTATACCATACATTGCGCCCGTTGTTGGATTTACGTCTTTGGATTTTCAACCCCAACTGAGCTGCGCACTTGGGTTCGCGCTGATTTCCGTGATGGCACTGTAGAATGGATTAAATGGGAAGCCAGCGGTCCATGATACCGTCTTGCCTTGGAGTCATCTTCTATAACAGATGCTCTGAGTCAATTGCGGGTATTTGAGTTCAATGGGGGGTGCGATATGTGAGTGATGCTTGTACTTCAAGCCACCTTTATGCATGGGACACACAGCAACTATATACTAGCAGGCGGTGGTTCCTCAGATAATCCTAGGTGAGTTACAACTTCTTGTGTGATAAGTACTCTTAAGTTATTGTATCAGTTTTGGCTCAGGGCCTCTCCCCCTTAAACGGCACCACATACCACCAGCTCCAGAATCATCAGTGGATTACTATTGCCAACTAATTCTACGTAAGTGAGCTTCGCAATGTATGTTTTCTGCATTGATAAATGTCTCCGAAGTCCGATTATCGGCTTCTTTCCATGTCGTGTATGATGAAGCAGCGAGGTGTGGATGTCCCCAGCATATGATCGAGATCGGTGAACTGATGTTTCCCTCAGAATTCCAAGGTTTTCAAGCCCCTACTCAATTTAGTCATCGGAGACATGGCTCTCGGAGTCCCCCTAGCAAACGAATTCGAAAACCATACTCAGGGCAGGGCCCTACAGGGTCATAGGTTACTGAGAGCTCCAAATTCACACTGCGCAGTAAGCTGAACCAAACTGAAATTCGAATCTTCGTACTGATTAGGAGTTCCTGTGTGAGTTGGATCTTGAACCGCAGTCGAGTATTCAAAAGGTCGTAGCGATAATTGATGGAAAATGACGGTCCGTTTCAAAATATGCGCGGCAAGAAATCATTTTTTCAGAGACTCTAGCTTGACTTGGAGCATGGGTAAAAATCCTGTGCTATAATCTAAATATAGCCACTTGAGGCTCACAGCTAGCTACAAACGAGGCTTTTCGGCCCAGATAATTTTAGACGGCCAGATAATTCTGATGGCCAGAGTTCAACAATGAGCATATGCATCGCTTAGTTAATAGGTGTATTTGTAACAGTATTCCACTTCGATGATTTATAGCCGCTGCAAATACTACCACATATATCAACGAGGTCAGTTCAAGCACCCACCCACTAGTATTACTATACACACTACCAACTATGACCACCTGTATTTCACCGGAACTGTTCGATTATTCAAGTTATCGCACAAGCATTTCTCAACTGTCCAGCCTATTAGGCCATAAATTCATGGATGCCTACATAGGACTCACAGCAAATCAGAAGGTTGGTTGATAACTGCAAGTCTTTTGTATATCCTGATTTCCTTTCTTTTCATATAGCTCCAGACTGAATTATATATTCTGTCATACTTGCTCAAAGATTGAGTTTATCCTGATGATCTTTGGCACCTAGTCGGGGAGCGCAGTATAGAGGCAAAACAAGAGGAAACCTTGGCCAGGCACCAGACCATCTGTCATGGTGATGACGGGGGAAGGCACGCGGCCGTGGAGCGATTTCTCATGGAAGAGAGGAAGAAACGGTGCAATATGGAGGTGTCTTTATACTCGCAGGCTATCGGAATGTTGGAGCAACTCCGGATGCGTAAGTTTCTTAAACTTTGAGAGATGCAGAGATGTGGTCCTCACCTTCCCATTAACTAGCACATATCAGAGCGCCAGCTAAGCATGAGATCAGGACTCCCTCAGCAACTTCGAGGCATGTGGCTGCACTTTTACCATGTGTACCTTTACCGTGTGCACCTTTGGCTTGCTCAATTGCTATGCGAGACATATGTGACTGGTCAAAGAGGAATGGCGCGTGCTCCAACACGGCTGTGGGACATTTGAGCAGCTCCTGTCTACCCCATGCTACCCATCAAGGAAGGATAGCATCCGTCATTTTGATGGTCAGTACTGCATTTTCTGTTTAATAGTGTCCAACCATCTCTCTACAGCGCATCAGCCCCTCGTTGCCCCTGCTGAGCACATGGATCACTGTCGAAATACAGGAAGCCTTTTATGATGCATTCCGAACGGAACTGCGCACGCAGGCGGAGCTGATGACGAAATCTGTTGCTACTAGGCGTAGCAACACCTACCTACGCAATCTTGGACTAGATCTACTCATTCTGCAGGCCAAGATGTGCCGCGCCAAAGCTGAGATTCAGCTCTATACGCTAGCCATTCAAAACACTTATGAATCCGACTCCTCTGACTGCAGTGAGCACAAACCAACTGGGTTCTCCCCCACAGCTGATGTCGTTGCAGGCTCGCAGACATCCTGGGATCAAACTATCCCACAGCCTCCGCCCCCCGAGGAACTGAACTGCTATGATGAGGACATCGATGGCACGGACGACTGTGATGACTGTGACACAGACAGCATTGACACGGAAGACGATGAGGTTGAAGTCTGCTCACACTGTTAGTGTGCTGCACTTGGTTCGGATCGTCTTGTTTAAATTATTTACTTTTGGCCCTCCTAGGAGGGCTCTAGTCGTCATGAACTTTCTTGCGTTCACATCGACCATGGCTAGTTGTAGTATCGCCGATGTAAAACATAATCAAACAGTGTGCTTTTCGCACTTATTGTGGTGGCGGAGTGGCACAATATTGAGGGCGAAGCGTCAAGAAAAACCACTACCGTAGGCTTGGTTCTGCTCAAGTGATATGTAGAACCAGCCAATTGAGGAACCGCAAGCCGTACGAAACCTTTGTGTAGGAGATACTTACTGTCGATCATCCCCACAGGTTTCGCTATGCAAAATATCAATGTTGAGAATGCGGGGGTGCTTCAGTTATACATTCAACTCGATGTTTGTGAATTCGGCTACGTACCTGTAAGCTTTAACTGAGCATTTTCTGGAATCCGGATCTTGCCGCTGATCGATGATCATCGTGCTGAATCAGCTCAAAGATACCAAGGTTCAATATGTTCTCTATGCCGCCACAACGTTGCAGGACAATACAATGCTACCATATGCCCTCTGCGTTCATTCTTGGTCCGAGTCAACTTCGGTATTGTACTCTGCTAAGTGGTACGATCAGTTTATTTTAAGAGCATGTGCCAATCCGACATACTTGGAGTGGGAGAAGGAGCGTTCCAAGCGATCTGATGGGGTGAACAAGTGCTGATTCCTTGTGGTGCGTATCCTTTCAACAGTCTCGCCCGATAATTTTCCTCCAACCAGCGCAATCTGTACTTTTGGTGCAGCCCTTCCAGCCTTGAGCATTCCATCTCCGCCAGCTGCAGTCACTCTTTGAGATTGGTGATGGAATCCGCCTTGTGTTTTTCATTGTCGTTCACTTGTAGAAGTGGAGCCTCATCATTTCACGCTGAGGGGCCGTCTTCACCGACATTCGCTTCGCTAGTCCACGATGAGCTACGAGAATGGTTGACAACAGTTGACTGACCTGACACTGGCGAGTTCTTCGCCGCTTTCGTTGACGCTGCCCACTAACTCAATTCTAGATAAAAGCATCAGCATGTCCTTCCGCCAGTTGGGTGCACCAGGCTCACCACAGGGTTAAGTTAACACCACCTCCTTGCACTTTGAAATTTTGACCCCGGGGTTGTGGCATGTTAAGTTAGACGAGTGTTTTCTGTATCGGCAAGCTGCAATGAGAAGGTGCAAGGTCATGGGACCGAGGCAAGGCTAAGGTAGTTATATACTGATGCGGTGTTGTTCTTCTAGTCATCAAATTTCAAACTTGCCACCTCGGTACAAGGTTGATATATTCTGTATGCGACAAATGGGCGAGCCAGATTTACCCTAGCCAACTGTTTAGCCGCCATTCATGGTGGGCGCTGTTTTGGCCACACCCCATGGCCACTGGTTGCCGTCATATACTGTGGCTACCGATTAGCCGCCATTCCCTCTGGTCATCCCTTTAGCGCCATTTATCATGGCCCCTGCGCTGGCCACCAGTTTCCATGGGATTTTACGTAGCACAGCGGCAGGGATAAAAGCTGGCAGTATCTGTGTAGCCTGCCCTTACTCCCCAACCATTCCTTATACCCCAGCTTTCATGACAGCCGAAGATGCTACCTCCAGTGTTCCGAGCAAATGTGGCTCCTCAGCCCTCCAAATGGGGCCTCAAAAAAAAGCGTAAGCCATCCTTTCCCGCATGTTCTATAGTCTCACCCCGTCTGCAAGCTCCTCATCCGATCTGCTTGTCTCCCACGGACGCCACTTTGGTCGAACAGTCTTCGCGCTCTGCAATTACCCTTCCTTACTCACCAACGGTATCTTGAGACTGGAACAACTGGAAGATACAAGAGCGGCGGGAACATTGAGTCTTTGAGCGCCTTCTAGATTCTTATCCCGGCCTCCTTGAGCGACTCAAAGATGGTTCAGAGGAGGAAATCCTTCATGTTGGAGAGCTTGTGCATCTGCTTCTCCATGGCCAGAGTTCATGCTGACGATTGACCTACAGATTGGCAAAGGAGCCGCAGGCGCCAGAGGCGATCACACAAAGACATTGAAATCTGCGGTCCTTGATTGGATCTCCCCCAGGGGTGAAGCAATACAGCCTCCATTACATAGGAACTCCAAGATCGACCGCGGTTTCAACCATGAACTCACCGGATCTCTCCTCTGTCCTGCCGGGTTAGACTGGAATAACCCTCGGTATGTTCCAGTTTTCTGGTATCTGTGCAGTCCTGAATATTTGTTACATTTTTGAAACAGGATGAAAGAGAACCTCCGAAGTGGTGAAATGGTGATCTGCGGGGACCAATGGCCAATTTTTTTGTACGCCAACCGCGTTTATGACCCTGAAGACCCATGGTGCGGTCTTCTCAGGAGCCACTTGCTAATATATGTGAGTGCTCACTCGTGTTTCCGCATAATCTGTTCACTACATGGCAATCCACTAGGCCTACAAACATGTTTTCACGTCTCCAAGTTCGGTTGACAGGGAGCCGAAAGCCACACGATCCGGAAACGCTCGCCTCCATGGCATGAATTCGGTCACAATAGCTTCCTTGGCTTATATCGCAACTCAGGTTCGTCGAGCAATTGCACTTCTGTGGCAGGATGATTTTGACGTAAGGCTGAAGGTGCGATTTGCCCTAAGCTCGTCCTCGGTGTTCTCGCGGACCGACACAACAACCGACTCGGAAACATTTTACCATAGTCTCCTTGACCTCTTGGAAGACCCGGAGGAATGTCAGGAGGTTGATGACCTGCTGACTTGGTGGAACCAGTATTTAAAATCCTCCTTCACCATGTCACTAAGGCTGATCACCGACGTTGCTACTTATGCAGCCAAGTTTTTCCCGCCTCCTCTGCTGCCAAGAGACCTATCAGCGCTAACAGCGCCTTATCCAGGATCTGACAACGACGCATTGCCCTCAAACAAGCTACATGTTCTGATATTGTCTCTTCATAGTTATTTTAACATGTCTAGTATTCTATACATAATATAATGACGCCCTGCTTTGGCTTGTGTAACACAGTTAGCTCGCTGAGATGAATGCAGGACAAAAATGTGCAACATCACTATAGTGACTGGTCATTGTAGCTGATTGTCGCAGTGTGCCGCATCCGTCCATCCTCTCTGCAATTGCCATGTTTTGCAAGATGATATCGTGAGATCCAAGGTCAACATCATGCTTGCGAATGAAAATAACAAGCAAATATTGTAGGGTGTTCGAATATTCTATTTGACTACATCGTTCAGGGAGAGTTTGCGGATTATTTTTTGGCTGGCTCACCTTGTATATAATGGACATACCTCATCAATCAGCTGACACAGTGCACCACGCCGCCAAGCCTCTGCACAGTGGGACTAAAGCAACCCCCGTCCAAAACAATCTAGCCTTCAAAGACTCCAACATTTAGGCAGAAGACGCGGCACATGACATGATGAACTAACCTTGTGTTTTGTTATCGTAGCTTGTTGAAGTTGGGTTGGACGTTAATCCGCTGCCACTCGTAGCCCGAATTGTGCGCTTAGCAGGCTCAAGCATCGCAGGCTAACGTCGCAACTACATACCTAAAGTCAGCACTGGGGGAGTTGTTGCCAATGGCGCAATGGTAAGCTGTGCTTGCATAACCCGAACACGTGGGCACAGCTTGGTACTGCACTATGGGTGCTTGGCACTCTTGGGCTATAGGCAGCATTGGTCCAACGCAGTCCGGCCATATAAATATTTACCTGAGGCTAGCATTTGGTCAGTGATCGAGGAGGATAAAATGATAAACTACTTGTGCATACGGTTATAAATCTCACCAAAGTTGGGTAAGATGACAGTGAATTGTCGCATGTCGCCTGAGTCGTGTATGTGGCAGAACCAAGCTTAACAGGCTAGCGTCACGACTACATACCTACTGTCAGCATTGAGGGAGTGGTTGTCGACGGTGAAATGGAAAGCTTTGCCTGCATAACGCAGGCATGCAGACACAGCTTGGTACTGCACTGTGGGCGCTTGGCACCCTTGGACTGTAGGCAGCATTAGTCCAACACAGTCCGGCCATATAGATATTTACCCAAGGCTAATGTTTGTTCCGTGATTGTGAAGGAAATATAAACAGCCAACGGTTGCATGTCACGACAAGCGCGTGGCACAATCATAGCGTATTGCCAGTGATCTTCAAGTAGGCAACCGTGGTCGCTTTCGACAACCTCATCTTCCTTTGCCACGGCAGGTGGGTGTTGTCTTATCCAGCATCTCGGTGATAAGTTGCAATTGGCTGTCACAATTATGCATTTGGCAGGTTTCGTCTAAGTAAGTCCGGGTATTCAAAGGTTTCTCATGAGGGGTACAATTCTGATAGTTTTTATACGAATTTTACGCTAGATAAAGCTTTCTAAGAATTTGTCTTTTTCGGGTCGGTTACCTGATGTTATCCGTAAGACCCTCGTCACTGCGGATGCCAGTGCGGGGTAAGGAAAACATGTTCGCAAATATTGGGGAACCATGAACGTCATTTGAGAAGGTCAATTGGTAGGTGGTAGAGCTGGTTCTGAACCTATAGAGCAATAGAGTCATTTAACTGGTTCTGTTTCAAAATGCAAGTCTACTAGTAACTCACCTGAATGACAATAAATTGACTGTCATAATAATGAGCAGCCGAGCGTTGGGCATGGGGAGTAGCAAAGTGAATCGGATTGTTGAAATTACTACAATGAATTTGTCAGAGTCAGAAACAGTTCAATTTCGGTGCCAACCTCTGAGTCCGAGTCTGTTCTATGCCGAGCATGGTGTCCACATTTATCTTTAAGTTGGAAGAGTACAGTATGTTGTGTTCCGAGTCTGTAAGTTGTGTAAATGTGGGAAACGAGTCTTCTGGATACTGGTCTCACGATGTTCGAAAAGCACATGAATTAGTGTGTACCACCTATGATCATGCAAGCAGATCTCTTCGACAAGAAGACCACGACCCTCTGCAACTACATACACTGATAGAGATAGAGATTCAGAATTATACAGTGTGTGGCGTGCGCGCGATTTTTTGTGTGCGTGCGCGTGATTCTGCTGTGCGTGCATGAAATTTGTGCATGCACGTGATTTAATTATGTTGCATTTGGACCGCCATAGATACCTACAAGATCATCATCACGCATCACCGAAATCCGTGTAAAATTATCGATTGGAATTTAATGAACGTAGATGGGCGCATATACATTGAGGTCAACACGCTACTCAACTGCTTTTCGTGTAGGCTTTCCATATGAATTGGCAACATTTCGAAGTTGCGAGAAGTGCGCAGATATGATATCGCACAGGTGGTCTGGGGACGAGCAGGATGATTGAACGAGACAAGGTTGGTTTATGGTGTATTACTTCCAATGCCCAATTTGCCTTATTAGTCGTCAGCCCCTGAACCAATCAATGTCCAACTGTTCGTGTGTAAAACCACCAGAATTAATGTACTATCCCAGAATTCTACTGCATGGTGTGTGTCTCCTCTGGAAATTTATAATGTTCGAAAACAAAGCTGAATGCATGCGGATTGAGGACAGAGTCTTCTGGCCACATTGTCGCGTACTTGTTTCGCTGGAATCTTTTATATTACTGTGCCCCGGGCTTATCCTACAAGTTCTATGTATGAGTCGCGCGCCATCCAGATGCCATACCTTGCGAATCTTTTATTCTTGGTCCGAGAGATACATTGTTCCGTAGATCCAGCATGTACTAAGGAATGTGTATTGTAACAAATGAATCACCATGATGATGATAATGATAACAATAACAATGAAGAATGTTGTGTTGCATTATGGTCTCCAGTAGAACGAATGCGTGTAGTTCGTAAAGTCATAAAGTTGTATGGTGTGATAGATGGTGAGTCGATAATAGAGAGCACAACATATACGGGATGGTTGGTAGTGGAAGTGAAACACTAGATCTCATCATAAAAATCGAAATCAAAGTAAATGGAGGAGTAAGATGAAGGAGGTACTCCATCTGATGACGATGAAACCTCATCTGCCGGAGGCAAAACTGGCACATTGGTTGTCATAAAGTCACTTCCCCATGTCCAGGCAGTGATCAAGATCAAGGTCCTCTGTCTCCGTAAACGTCGAAGAAAAATCAAGGTCTTCGGCGGCCTCTGTGACCATGACCTCTGGTAATTGAAGTGATGAAGGGACATGGGTGGTCTCCGTAACCATGGCCTCTGGTGATGGACATGATGAAGAGACGGGATGTACTATGGTATCCGCAAAATTGGTGGTTTCCCATGACATGACATCCTCATTTACTGGGGACGAGATTTGCATGTTGTGGGAGAAATCGTAGAAGTCCGCTATAGTGATAGTGTACTGATCCTGCTGGGTGCGAGAATAGTAGTCGACCCAAGGGGATAGCTCTGAGAGCAGTTCCTCAAGTATGAGCGAGGGGAACAGTGAAGAAGGAAGTGATGCGCTGAAGACAGAATGGCTGTGTATGTGAGGAGATGTGGAGATGCGAGAATGCGCGGAGATGTGAGGTATGTAGATGCGGAGATGCGAGGTATGTGGATGCGGAGAAATGAGTGAATGTCTAGAGGGTACCAGGTATGCGAAACGGGTAGGGTACCAGGTATCAGAACAGGTAAACGGGTAGAGCGAACTAGGTACCAGGTATATGCAAAGACGTGCAGAAACCGCCTTGCAAAGGAACTCAACTAGGACTAGCAATAGTCAACTGTCAACAGCGATGCGAGCGTTCGCGCGGGATGAGAAGGCAAACAAGTGATTGCTCAAGCAAAGAAAGACAAGGTAAGACTAAGCTAGTGACTCCGCAACACACAACCAGAGAGAGGGAATGTAGGAAAGTGAAGTCCGTACGAGTCTGCGACATAGTATATAACAGAGTCCGTAAGGAACCGGAACCGTATAAGCGGGCGCATATGCAAGCGAAGTCGGAAGGAGATACGTGTAAGTAATGGTACACGGCCTCGTGTATGGGAACTGATATGTAACTGGCCCTGCGAACAGTTAGGAATGACTAACTAAGAATGAGAACGCACCAGTGAGGACGGACAGATGCAGGCAGGACATGGACAGATAGTGCGTTGCAATGCAATGCGATGAGTGTGTGGATTCCGCAACCTCGTGTGATGGTCCACAATGGCCTGTGGAAGGTATGTGTGACTTCGTCCAGTAAGGGGAAATGGTGCCATACGGGGCTGCAGCCAGATCGTCTCCTACAACATTCTCTATGGTGTTTGGTGTCGCCGGGCCGCTGTACATTGATGATGATTGAGCACCCCCATCTCTTTGCCCTGCGTGTTCTGCGAAGTGCATCTGAAAGGCATCAGGTCTGGTATGCCGAATCATAACAGTTAATAATGAGACGAGCATATTGAGAGTGGGGATTACACACATGGGCGAACGAACAGGGCAAGATCCATTACTTTTCTCTTTAGCATGATTATGCTTTTTCGACCCAATGTGGCGGGCGTAAAAGCCGGGAAGGATGGACTCGCCATCAAATAAACATTTGTATTTCTGGAGTCCCATTCCATCGAGTTCGGGTTCAAGTGTCTGTCCCAAGGACTAAGAATACGACCTCACAACATGAAAAGAAAACTCACAAAGTCTGGGTCGTTTTTTATGGCGCTATCGTCCATTTTCACTCGCTTGACTTCACTGTCTTCGCTGTCTTCTAGGTCGTCTGCTACGCGCTTTCGGGTGGCTGGGTTCATCTGGAGGTAAAAGTAGATGTGGAAGCTGGAGATATTGTTCGCAGTGGCAGTAGGCGAAGTGGTAAGAGATAGAGGATGAAGGCCACCAAAGCAATATTTATATGTTTGTGGAGGACCACTTTGAAAGTGCGGCATCCACTGAGGGGAACTTCCTTTCAGAGAAACTTATGTGGATGGCGGTCTTTCACTCAGTGGATTCAGCCATGCGCCCACACTTGAGTTGTTCAATTTTTATTAAACTCTACGATGCAAACATGAGATGCACACTGTGTATATTTTTCCCCTCCTGAGGCTAATAATCCGATCGAAGCATCACAGTATATTTTCTGTCTCCGCGAACCATTGAACCGTAGATCCAGGCCCTCTCGCACGACCGACCAAATCCATCAGATCTCCGTGATTCATATCAGTGCCTTGGAAGAAACAGCCTGCTCCGTAAACTGGTCAGTAACATTAAAACAGAACGAACCTATGCGAGGTGCAGTGATTGGTCCATGTCATCATACAGAACTTGTTGTACACCTCTCATATTACCTTCTAAACGTACAATTTTCGCAGCAGCTCACCAGCATCCCACTCAAGCTCCAGACTTCACGGGTAAGAATAATTTTATTGCACTTGGTTCTGAGTACTCACACTCTTTTTGGTCTCCTGCTTGATACATTGGAACATCATGTTATAGATCGTGACAGAACTTGACCCCTTGGACCACGAAACAGGTAACCACAGGATTTGTGGGAAGTTGCCATTTTGCAACTCGGAGTCTGTTCTTGAGGATGACTTCCACTTCCTCACACTTGTTCCACGTGTAGTGGAAGGTAAACGGGTCCACCTCGTCATAAGCCTCGTCCTTCAGCTCGTACACGCCCGTATCAGATGTTTGACTCAGGTGCGCAGAAGTGAGATACAATCCTTGAGGACACGCTCGAAAGACACATCGTCCACCATCCTCTCGGAGACACGCTTAGTGAGGTCGGTGAATGAACTTAGCCCTGCCGCAAGCGCGTGCATGATCTCGCGATGGATGGCACGCTGGAATGGGAGCCTAGTGGTGCTGGCTCTCTCGCCAACAATGGTTATAAGGACATAGAAAACCTCCTCGACCATGCTCAGAAGATGGGCGCCTTCATAAGGGGACTTCTCGACTTCACCACGGGTCGATGAAAGCAAATATGTCCTTTTGGAGCCTACAACTGACATCTTTTAGTGCATGTATCCGCAGTCATGAAGAGACATAAGACGATTTTCCCGCCCCAAATGATCGGGCGATACATTGAGTGGTAAGAGCGAAAATTTACTTCTCGATGTCACCGACTCCAGGGAGCGTCGAAGATCTCCTCATCTCAGGCATTACTTTGCAGAACCACAGCCCGCAAAACACAGCACAGAAGTGACATCTGTTACGATAACATACTTCGGACCGGACCCCCATATCTTTTCTCCTATCATGTATCACCATATGACGTCTTATCACCTTCTTGTACAGCATCCTTGATCGCCGTCTTATCTCGTATCTCTTATCTTGTACCCTGTACCCTTACCATTGCCTCGGTAGCCCTGCCCTGAACTGACCTTTCCTATAAGTA